CAGTCACATTTCCCAGACTAAAGAGGCTTTTCCTTTTAAGATTTCCTCCTTCAACTAAGCTTAGAGTGGGCCATAAACATCTGTTACTCTCAAGGCTATTGCTTCTCCAACTAGGAGCTCAGCCACACATGGGCTAAGTAGCAGCAATGATAATTGAAAACAGCCATCACAGATCTTTTGTTACCAGGTTTATCCTGCAATGTGAAAGAAACATTTCAAAAAGGGAAAACAGTAACACAGAGCAGTATTGCAGGAGGGTTAAATAACAAGACCCTGCAATGTGAAAGAAACATTTCAAAATGGGAAAACAGTAACACAGAGCAGTGTTGCAGGAGGGTTAAATAACAAGATCTAAACACAGCTAGTGATGGCATGAAAGCCACGAAAAGGCAGGGCAAGTCCTTCTACACTGCTGCAACGAACTGTCACAAGGATTGAGAAGCTTCCTCCTGCTTCTTTTTGGGAAGGGGTTGTCTAAAATCAGGTGTCAGGTACCCTTAATGAGAACATCAAAAACCAGCAGTGAATCATAGAATGGTTTAGACTGGAAGGACTTTAAAATCACCTAGTTCCAAGCCCCCTGCCATGGGCAGGGACACCTTCCACCAGACCAGGCTGGCCAAAGCCACCCAACATGGCCATGTACACTTGTATGCACAACTTCTCTGGCTGACCCTCAGAGTAAAGAATTTCTTCCTAATATCTAATCTAAACCTGACCTCTTTCACTTTGAAGCAATTCCCCCATGTCCTGTCACTAGATGCTCTTGTAAGAAGTCCCTCTCCATCTTTCTTGTAGGCTCCCTTCAGGTACTGGAAGGTCACAATTAGGTCACCTTGAAGCCTTCTCTTTCCCAGGCTGAACAAGTATAGATCAATCAACCACATGACACATTTGGGAAATGAAAGCACAATTCACTCTCCTGCTACATCCCTGAGTGTGTGAAACTGCTTTTAAAACGCAGATTAAGACATATAAAAAGGGATCCAAATTTACTGGGAAAAGTGTTATTTCTATGGAATTCCCACAGTAGAAGTTACTGAATAGCAAAGTACAACTTGCAGCACATCACCTGAATGTCTAGTTTACAAGAAAATGCAAGGTAAACCATGCTGGATTATTTCACTTGACATGCAGTAAGGTCTACAACCCCAAACATTATGACTAAATTCTTCAAGGAGCAAGCTACAAATTCAGTGAGCTTTAGCTAACTGCTAACCTCTTCAGCCATGCCAGCATTCACATTCTGTCAAAGTGATCCAAGCTTCTGTGTGATAAAGGGAGAAAAGAACAGAACACAAGATGGTCACCTACCCTTACTGTGGGAGCCTGGGAACCAGTGCTCAAATCTTACACTAGCTATGGGTATCCCTTCTCTCCTTCCTAAGCACAAGGCTGAAACAGAATTATGCATGCTGTGCAGTTTTACACGTCTCTAACTTTTGTCTACTAGATGCAAGCATTCAAAAACCTGAGTGTAACATATTTAGCAGCAAGTCTCCAGCAGAAAGCACAGTCTCTCTCTGTGTGACGCAGTTCAAGACTACCTTTAGCCTGGCAGAACCAGATGGTCAGCCTAACAAGGAAGACTAAATTCCTGGGACAGAAACACTTCAGAGGAATACTCATGCCTACTGCACACTCCAGAGTTAAAGACACAACCTCCACCTCTGAAGGTTATGATTCAGAAACTTGAGATTGTCAGCAATACAAGTACCTCTTACGAAGTAATTTTGCTGCATTTTGTTCAGTCAATTGCTTTCCCACTGAACAAATTAATCCTCCACAAACACTCTTGCTTGCTTTTTAGTGGTGTTCTGTGTAACATGTGTGAACACCTTTAAATCACCTCTTTTTTTTTTAAGACATCCCTTCTCATTTACACACTAAATCTCAATGCAAGAACTTCATCTTCCACAGATGATAATGCTGAGCACTCTGAAAGCCAGGACCAGAATAACTTTCATTTCTTCAGGGTCAAAGGCACTTCAAAATATTTATAAAATGCCTGGCTCTTTGGAGAAACCTCTCTCTGATCTTCAGAGTGAAAACCAATGCCTCCTGTAGCCAGAAAATGGTATGTCAGGGCACAGTTTTTATAACTCATCCTCTGATTAACAGAAGTCCTGAGGTACCATATCAGCTTCAGGCCCCTGCTGGCCGTGTGTAACAGACCTGAAAACCAAGGTTTTCCACAGCAATTTTTCCAGGTCAACAGCATGTTACAGAATTACAGAATATTCAGAGTTGGAAAGGACCCATGAGGATCACTGAATCCAACTCCTGGCCATATACAGGACATCCCTCAGAATCACGTCATGTTGTCTGGATCACTCAAGGTGGAAAAAACTCAAGACTTCTTTAAACTTCATTAATATGGAAACAGTTAAAACATGCCATGTGATGGTGCACAATAAACATGGCAACATGACCACCATAACAGTGGAAAAAAATTTCCTAACATCTAATCTCAATTTCCCCTGTCTCATCTTACAACTGTTCCCTCTAGTCTTCTCATTGCAGGCATGGCAGAAGGACCACAACTCACCTTAGCAACAAAAGGATAAATGGATTTTAAAAAAACCTAGATGCATTGATGAGTGTTTTCTGGTAAAAAGACCTACTGCCAGTTCAAAAACCTAAACAACTAAGAAAACAAAATGGGGACACATTCTACAGGGTTGTGAATCTTCAGTAGTAACTATTAGAAACTATTTTCTACAGCTGTTAGATACCTGATGTTCTTTAGAGTATCTGCTACAGAGAGTAAGAAGACCTAACTCAGCAGCTGAGTAAGACATAACTCAGCTCCAACTGACAGACACCTCTGAAGAAGTCCAACTCATACACAAGACAAACAGCTCTGCAATGTGTGTAGACAAAGTATCTTAGAGAATTCTTTTAGAAACAGAAAGAATATCCACTAAAAAACAGAATGGTACCAAGATGAACTAGACTGTGTGTGCTCCTTTCAAGCACTTACACCTAAACAGACTGTCATCATTACACCACATACACACAAACTCATATATACACCTTCAATGCAACAAAAATCCCAATTAAGATTACAAATAATAATATGGATATAATCGACCTGGTTATAGTAATAAAAAGTGACTATTCAAAGACTGTGGTAACTAACTTGAAATCCATCTGCAAATTCAGTTATATTTTTTTATTGAGCATTTAATTTCTGGATCGAACCCTAATAAAAATCTAAACCTAAACTCCACAACTTTTCACTTTGGAAAAGCTTGGAATGCTAACTTAAATATTTTACACAGATACTAAGCCATCTGCAGAGAATTCCAAGCACAAATGAATGGGATATAACAGGTACTCATATGTATACATCATTTTCCCCCAGGCTTCCAAATGCAGCCACAAAATTAAAACTTTGTATGGTACTCATCACCAGAAATAACAATGGCATTTAATTCCTAAATGCTGTAGATAACTATCTTAACCATCTATTTAAGGAAAAAAACTACAAGGGTGTGTGGGTTTTTTTTTTTATACACACACACACACACAAAGACAAGCTTTAAACTCAATCAGCCAATTTTTCAAGTCTATATGATGTTTGGATGTAAACATCACTAATACTTCACAGTGTATTTATAATCAATTCAGCACACATTAGTTTTGTTTTCATACTAGTAACATGGATAGTGTTTTATCACAGCTCAGACTGCCCACCAGACAGAAGCAGCTCTCATTCAGTTCTGATCTTGCTTTACCTATTTGAACCATTGGAAGGGCAGAATTTAAACACCAAAAGCTGCACTTAGAGCACAAACCAGAAGAACCATCAGTTTTAGCCCTAGTACATTTCCAGCAAGTAGAATCATAAAAAAGGAAAGCAAGGAGTATGGATCTACTCTAGGACAGCATGGAGAGGAAGCATGAAATAAAACAGCAGAACAAAGCTGCTCACTAAATCTACAAATGCAAGGAGAAAGAATTTTCAGGAAAAATATCCCAAACCGTGGTACAGGGAGGAAAGGTACAAAATATATCTTGGCAAACAGGAAGATAAAAGTTGCATGATACCAGGGTAGCAGTTTTTGAGCAAACCATTTGGGTAGATTATTAGGTATATGCATCTCTGCCCATGGCACTCCTTTGTCATCCAGGTTTTCTGACTTATTTCCAAAGCCACAACTCAAAATGGCAAGGAAAATACGATTCTAGAGACTCCTTATGAAACCATGGGGAACTTTTACTGTTACTTCTATATAAAAAAACTGCGTCACTTTAACCTTCTATAAAAAGATGACATTTAAGGTACTGACTAATCAAAATCCATGAGTTATTTAAGTTGCATTCTAACTTCCAGTGTGAAGAAAGAGTGATGCTGCTCAACAGTACTCCAATTAAAAACAACACTACATCGAGTTTTTTCAGAGTCAGGTCCTCGAATCTGTAATTAGGATCTGGAAGATGTAATCTGCCACTTGTTGATTAGTCTAAGAGTTTTGCTAAGGATAAGCAGATGCATCAGTGAGGGTGGGCTGGGTAGTTTTTTGGATGGGAAATGGCATTTAAGCTCATTTAAGTTCAAATAAGAATTCAAAGCATGCCAGGACTTTAAATGCAAACATTCTAACAGAACATTTCCCACCACTGCCACACCTTGTACTAGACAAAATCTGGAATGCAGTATTTTCATCAACATTGCAATTAATGCATTTTTAATTTTAAAAATCCAGATCAGAGTCAACTTAGACCCTACACAATATTGTTTTTTAAACCTTCATATTTCTAAAATCCTAATTACACACCCCTGTAGCACTTGTGTAAGTCTCAGATGCAGTATGCTAGTGCTAGCAGTAAACATGCACAAACAGTCTGTGTAGCAAACAAAGAGATAGACATGAAGAATAGGCTGTTGCCATCAAAACAGACTACAACGTAAAGTATGGATGACCTAATGATATTCTGGCTTTTCTGACCCAAGTTTAAAACTTCTAGAAGCAAGTTTGTTAAAATGAACATACCAATATGTGCTGAACCACTGCTACTTTTACTTTGTATAGAGGTACTGCATGTCTGGGTCCCAGGTTGTGCTGTGCCTGTTCGATTGATACCCCTGTAGAGCTTCCTACAGGAGAGTTCATCATTGTCACTGTCATGTAGGGATGGTGTCCGAGGCCTAAAGTGCCGCCATCTACATGATTTGATATTGACTAGTATCTGACTGAGGTCTTTTGAGAGAGATTTGTCCGAGGTATTTGTTTCTGAGGTATTGGCAAATTGACTGATTGAAGAGTGTTGTGATGAGGAAAACTCCGAATCCAGATGATGAAATGTATTCTCGTACTCCGAATGCGCTCGGTCCAGCAGCACCCTGAAACCAGGAGAACAGTGCAGGATTACACAGTGGCAAGAAAACACCAAGAAAATCCCCAGTTTGCCATGTGTGCCTGGGGATGACAAAGGCATGGAAGAAACTACACAAAACTGTTCTAGAATAATCAAACACTCCCCTGACAACATGCATGACTGTCTGTTATTTTACAGTATGTAGCACTTTTAAGTATGTTCTAGCTTTTACTGTTTGAAGAGCTGATGTACAATATCATGCATTTATTAAAACACTACAACAACATAGAATTATTTTTTTAAGAAGACCTGGAAAATAAAATAACATTGCTAAAGTAAAAAGTGATAATTCAAATGTCCTTCTAAATTGATTTCAAAGCCTTACTCCTTATATCCTGAATATACCTACAATAACTTCCAAATCCCCTTGCAAAAATCCCAGAAAGAGCCTTCAGCTCTCATTCCAGTTTTGCTGATTGCCCAAGCTGACTTATTAACATGTGAAGAGGTGCATTCATGAAAAGAATGTGATTTGCCTTTTAAATAAAAATCTAATACCAATGTACTATTTTCCTAAAGACATCACACGTTATTTAAAAAACCAGCACTTGTACTCTGAATCATCTTTAAATTGTTTTCAATAAAGATACTTAGAAGAAAAATGCCTCAAATAAGTCCTTAAGTTCTTTGGTATTTTTGACACTGTTTGAAATTTAACAGTTAAATTATCCACAACTGGCAAATCACAAAACACAGTCTAAATGCAGAAAAGCATCTTCTGCAAAATGTGATTTTCTTGCTATCTTTAAATGCTCCTATTTGAGGACAACTATGCAAATAATGCAATCACAACTGAAAATGCACATGTATTTTTACCCCAGAACTCAGGACTGCAAGCAATAAAAAACCCTAGAACTATTTAAGAAAACAGTACTCAAGAAACTTCTACTAGCACAAAATAAAACTGGAGACATTAACCAGCTAAGGAAACGTGTATCAAATGTAAATATTAAAAAAGCCAATCTCTTGGATGTGTCAAATTTTTGAGGTGTTTTTTTTTTTGTTTTTGACCTTTGCTCTTCATGTCTTACTGATTATTTTCTTTTTAATTTTATTTTTAAAAATCACACAACACTTACCTTCCACCACGGCCAACCCGTCTTCGTGCAAACCCAATACACCTCTGGGGGACAGTGAGAGTGGTTAAGCAGTATCGGTAACGCACATCTCCTAATCTTCCCTCTTTAGGGCTACTCCATGGCCAGTTGCCAGGTTGGTCTAAATGAGGCTTAAAATCAAATGAAGCAATTAAACACAAGATCTCTTCCCACCATGATGCTCTGTCTTATGAGACATAAGGAAATTCTACTTACAGCATAGTACTGACAGCCTGCTTTCCTTCGGAAGGCAAAAGGACCATCGGGATCATTTTCTTCCTCAGCCTCCGAAGAACCAGACAAAACCTTTAAAGAGGGGATTGGGGGGAGGGTTGGGGGTGTATGAGGAGACACATTAGCAAATTCTTGAGTTTTACTTCTGTTCCTTCCCCAAGAGCAGCACAAAAACTCTAAAGGTCTTACCTGGGAGAGAGGTTCTTCGTCCGAGCTAGGAAAATCATACTGATTCAGATCTTTAGCATTAAAGACTGGCAGTGCAGCAGGACTTGTCTGTTGAGGAGTAGCAGCAGCAGACGAAGGTAAGACTTTTGGCTTCTTCTCATACTTCCTTTTGGGTCTAATAACATCAGGTTTATCTTGCTGCAAGAAAAATAAGAAACACAAGTTTATGAAAACTCCTGTCCAAGCAAGCCAAAACATGAACTCATCTCTCCACCATCCTGACAGTAAAACATGCAGACATTTTGTGAGCGTTATTTCATTTCCAGGAACCAAAGCATTTAACACATAAGGTGAAATCAAGCACTGTTTGCTCAATAACTCACTAGAGTACTGAGATAACAGTACTACTTTGGAGAAGGAGACCAAAATACATATGATGATCTCCATGAGGCACCTTTTTTATTTTCTAGCATTTTAAATGAATAGCCAGCGTTACAGAACTACTAAGTACCAAACAATACTTTCAACACAACAATAGACCTCTCAAAGATACCTATAATCTTACAAAAGCCTCTAAAAATTAAACACATTTCTCCATACTATGCAGAGTCCAATTTAAGTGCATTTCCCAAGCTTCCAAGAAACAGATTTCTTTCAAGCTGTGAGACCCTGCACTGACAGGTAAGTACATGCCAGCAATCACAATTCTCTGCTACCAGTGGAAGAATTCACTGATTCAAACCACCCTGTCAGATTCAGAACAGCCTCTGGATATTCTTCAGTTACAGGTTTAAAATTCAAATTACACCTCAGATTTCTCCTGTGTTACCTGACCTATTTAACATGTTCAGTTGTTCCCACTGTACCTATGCTTCATATGACAAAAATTAAAGCCTGCAGGAAAAAAAAGTGCTGGTAGCTGTCTAAAAATCCAGTAAGATTACTTGATACTTTACTTAAATATGAAACCAAGGATATACACCACACTGGGAATATCAGTGGAATATCAGTGGGTCATGTTTTACAAACAAAACCAAAAAGAACCCTCCAGACTAAAATAACAACATAATGCAGAACAACATACGGGTTTTTCATCATTAGTTCTGTATTTGTACACTATCTAGATAACAAATACAGTTTTGTTCAGAATATCCTAACTTTATGGGCAGTACTAGAGAAAAATATTTCTATTCCCCTGATTAAGAACACAGTTGCATGTGTCCTTTTGCCTGCAGCTTGTCCATACTTCCTTTATTTCTGTCTTGAGGAATGCTAGTGGCCTGTCTGTTATCCTAGTAATTCCAAGAGAAGGAAGCATTTAATTTCACTTGCAGCTTTGCTGGCCTCTTGCCAGTTCCAAAAAGCTTCCCTCCTCCTCCCATCCTAAAACACTGCATCTTGCACACCGTATAGTGATGCTGCTACTCACTTTAACTTTAAATTCTTTCAGTTCCATAGCTTCCTGGTGTTTAAAAGGACTGCTGTTAGACACAGGAATGATGGGAATCGCATAGGTAGGTTTAAGTGGCTGCCGCTGTGCCATGACTTCAGACACGATCTCTCCACTGTAGTCACCCAAATTATACCTAAAAACAGAATAAATTTTATTTGTTGGTATATTTACAGGGTACATCTGGTAAAAAAACCCAAACCACAGATTAAACACTTGCAGCTTGGGGTAAAGGGACATCCAGGACATCAACAAGAAGTACAGGAAATATTATTCCAGGAAAGGGGACTAATAATGGAGAAAATTCATTGCAATGGCTAATGCTGACAAATAAAAAAAGGATAACTACCCTGTAAAGCTTCTGCAAAAGATGATACTGTAAAGGAAAAAAGCAGGAACTAGAAGGAAAGAAGGGACAGGGTTATCCTCCCCCCCCTTTGCTGGGGACTGGTACCATTTAAAAACACTCAGTTATCGCTCTGAAGGTTTTAACAGTGAGGCAGATTGCCTTATCTATGAATACTCCCCTCTTCTGAGTTACAGACTATTTTCACCACAGGCAGATCCATGGAACATATTACATTTCAAATCCTGTGACAAATGCTGAGTTGAAGTGCAGTTTTCCACTCTGAGGGAGCCACTAGAGTCTTTCCTCTATTCAACAGCTTATTTTCTTGAAAAAGCTACTGGAAAAATATTTGCAATTTCTCTGTTTCTGCTGAAAAAGCTCAGTGCTTGAAAAAAGTGCCCTGGTAGAGACATTCAGCTTGTTCCCCCCAAGAATTCAGACTGAAAAGGTAGTTCTAGAGCTGTAAGATACTGACTCAGAACATTTGTTTACAAACATGGATACTTAAGCTAGAGAAGGATATTCAGATCTAAGTATCAAACTACAAAAACCTCCACATTGCAAATGTGATTCTCAGTGGATTGGGAAAGTGACAGCTGACAGAGCAGAGCATTTGGCCCTCAGCACAGCTGACAAACAGGATGTCAACAGAAGCACAAGCTGGAGATGACTCACACAACAACATTTCATACTTTATGAAACGGTTATTTGTTTTCCCCAACAGAGTGTTAGATCAAGCTTTTTTTAGCAAAGAATAGCGATAATGAAGTCGAAGAAGAATGGTAATGACTGAAAAGGGCCTTAAAAATAGCTGGGATTTCCTTCATCTATGTACTTAACACACATTTTCACTAGAATTTATCCGAATCTGAGCTCCCTTCTGGTATAATGTACAGGATAGATACACACACCTGAAAACATGCACACATGTAATAAAACAATGCACCTTAGTGTGACAGGTCACCTTCCCACAACAAGCAATATCTTAACACAGAGCATGCTACCTGGTAAGTGTGAAAGAACCAGAATACTTATTTTAAGATATTCCCACTGTTCAAGTATTTGCAGCAATCAGAACACCAAGTAGTTTCCAAAGCTTTCTGCAGCAAACTTTCAGTAAACATTACCTCTTTTCCATAATTTCCAGTGTTAAATGCAGCAACTCCCTCTTGCTTTTTTCCCTCCTCTTTATCATCTCCAGGATGGTTACTGCACGACTCAGATCTCGGCGCAGCTTAAGCATCTTCTCGTAAGATGCTTCATCATTTTTTCGATTCTGTAGATACACAGTATACGTGTTTCCCCACATCATTCAAATACAATAATCTGAATTTACCTAAGTTCCAAATATTTAGGTATGTTAAAGAAATGAGATCACATGCTAAAACGAGGAGAAGCATGTGCCTGTTATCAATGAGCCACAGCTTGCCAACACCGTAAGTAGGTGTAACAGTAAATTTAGTGAAAAAAATTAATATAAACTTTTATTCCCGTAAGTAGGTGTAACAGTAAATTTAGTGAAAAAAAATGAATATAAACTTTTATTTAATAGCTGTCCTAAAGTAGTTTATGCTTTTTATCCTTGCCAATTTTAAAAAAAAAGAACACTCCAATTCTTATTGCTTTATACTACACAGGCGAATTGTTTTTTTATTTAAGCTACGTTTTGAAAGGGGGAGATGGAAAAGAAAAAAAAGCAGGTGTAACAGTAAATTTAGTGAAAAAAAATGAATATAAACTTTTATTTAATAGCTGTCCTAAAGTAGTTTATGCTTTTTATCCTTGCCAATTTTAAAAAAAAAGAACACTCCAATTCTTATTGCTTTATACTACACAGGCGAATTGTTTTTTTATTTAAGCTACGTTTTGAAAGGGGGAGATGGAAAAGAAAAAAAAGCAGAAGGAGGTACTGATGTACTTACTTTTCGTGTCTGCATCTTTTCTGTTCGTCTTCTAAAAGCAACATAAGGGTCATTTGTGCTGGAACCATCTCGTTTCTCTTGTTTTACTGCTGGGATAAGAGAGGGACCTCGACAATTTTTCCTCTTTTTAATCCAGTACTCGTACACTTCTCTGATCAATTCATCATCTTCCTTCAGCAACAGCTTGGCCTCCTGCAGGCTGACTGGCTAAATGTAAAACCCAGCATGTCACTTTCATACAGTAACATATAGAGTGCGTATTTCAAATTCTGTATTCAAAGCACCGTTGTACCTGCTGACCGCTGCCCTTTTCTAGTCTGTCTATCATCTCCTCAAACTGCAAAGGAGAGATGTCCATTCTTTTCTTCAACTTATTCACAAAGATCTCATCTTCCGAATCCAAGTCATAGTCCGGCTGCTCAGCATCCAAACTAAAAGCTAAATGATACAGTGAAAGATAAAGTTAGTTTTACTACAGAAATGTTCTATTCTAATAGCAATGTCCTGAGTACACACCACACTCTTCTGCTGATGGAACCAAAATTATTCATTTGAAAGCTGCAGTAATGTTCTTTCCAAGATTTTTTTCTTGGGGAAAAAAAGTGACACAATTAAAGCTCAGGCACAGAAGCTGATATCTATTTGAATATGGTTTTGCTAACCAACGAAAACTTACTAGTGGTCAAACCAACTAGCAGCTTCCTACCTCATTACTTTCCATAAAAAATTGTTAGACCGGTCAAAATGTTCAATACTGCCTAATATTCTGCAGGTGTATGTATTCCATGATCAACAGTTAAGACTTCAGCCCAAACACATGTCAAAAGTGCTACTATGAAAGTATGTGAAACTGTATTACAGTGACCTTCCACATCAAGAGCATCAAGGATCTTTGTGATGTAGATGGGTCATACTAAACTGGCCCAACATGATCCACCATCTGAAGCAAGACATCTTCAAACACAAGTAATGTTTTGCAGAATGCAAACAACTGTTCTGTTTTCCACAATACCCCACGAAAATGCAGCACTCTGCATTCAAAACAAGACCTTGTCAGTTCTCAGGCCTCATTCAAGTTGTTTTAGTTGGTAAGAGACAAATTTCTTCCCAAGTGCACATCTGAAAACACATTATCAAACACATCACACGTGCCTTTAATAAACAGGTAGAATACAATGCAGCTGAAAGTCAGTTTCAGCTGTTAGATCACTAGATAAGGAAAAGAGGAAAGAAAAGCGTAACCTTAATATTATCATGGAAAACTGCTAGTAGGAAAGAAGTAGTACTTTACAATGAGGGTGGTGAAACACTGGAACAGGCTGCCCAGAGGGGTGGTAGATGGCCCACCCCTAGAAACATTCAGGGTCAGGTTAGACAGGGCTCTGAGCAAACTGACCTAGTTGAAGATGTTCCTGCTCACTGCAGGGGGGTTGGATTAGATGATCTTTTAATGTCCCTTTCAACCCAAGTAATTCTACAATTCTAATATTTTAAGCCTTCACTGAGGCTCAGACTGATAGAGAAGTCTAGCATTTAACCAAAGCTAATTAAGCATGAGATCCATTTACACAGCACAGATATCACTTTTAGAATTCTACTCATTACATCATGCAACAGAGCTCTGCAACAGACTGTCTTTTTTATGATCTTTTCAAAAGTTATCTGAAGTAATGTAGTGTTCACATGAAGGGTCATATCCATACAAAAAAGCTGCTATCTTCCAGCAAACTTGTTGAGATTTTGTTTTTGCAAGCCATCAGTGACATCAATACCCACCTACTTTTAAATGTAGAATACATCTATTCAGGCATAGGCAAACACTAGTACTGCTACTGCCATTTCTGCTTGGCTTCCCAATCCACTCAGCTGATTAAGCTTCAGGGACAGGTACTCTTGTTTCTTAACTACGCATCATATATTTTCTTCTTCAAGTAGATTTGTGTCTG